ATTAGGGTTAATTTCGCTCGAAAGAAGTAATTAGCTAGAATTGGAAAATCGGATCTAATATTGTAAATGAGTAATTTATTAATTGGCTTGTGGAGAAATTAATTAGGTGATGGTTAAGTGAAACCATGAATCCCAACCAAGTTTCTCTCCAACTTTCCAAGTGTTTACGTTTTCTTATTTTATAGATTTTTAGTTAATTTTTCATAATTTCCAAAATCAAATTTTATTGTGTGTTTGTTTGTTCTTGTTAAAATTAAATTGGCCAATGTTGTGTAATTAAAAGTAAGCATTCCTCGAGTGATCGACAATCCGGACTCAAAAGGTCCACTTTATTACTTGAACGCGAACAGTGCACTTGTGGTATATTATTTTAGCGACCTGGAGCTATATATGGTAGGTGTTTTGCTGAGGGTGAAGATGGTAGTATGTTGTGTTGGGTTCGGTAGGAAACTTTTCATAGTTTAATCTCAATTGAAATAGACCCCAGTACTCTTAATCATTTTCAATCACGACCCAGTTTCGGATAACCCCAATTGCGTGTATGTTTTGTTGAGCGTGAAGATGGTAGTATGTTTTGTACGCGTATCTTAATGTTCTATCTCTTAATGAAACTCACCATTGAAGAACCATTTGACTAAAAGTTTTTTCACAGCATGGGTTCCCATAAAGAAAAGAAGAGAAAAAAAAAGTATTGAAATGTGAATGAAGTATAAATTGTGTTCTTGTTTGGATGTTATTCTTTTCCCCAACTTCTGTAGTTTGTTTTTGAAGCAGAACTGTCTGATAATAGTTGGCCAGGCCGGTTCTGTTGATATAGTTATGTTTGTTTTAGTTATGTTATGGCATCAATGACGCAGAGGCATTTTCTGAGCGGTTGAAAAGAGAGCTTCAAGCTTTGGAAGCAGCAAATGTGCATGTAATTTTGGAGAACGAGGCATTAGTTAATGAGGTAACTTTGGATCCTAAGCATTAACATCCAGGTTTTTACTGTGTTTTGTTGTTAAGCTTGTACTTCTATTTCAGATGGATTTTGTTGCTCATTGAACTCCACTGTGCTTGAAAATAACCCATTTATTGATGGACATGTTCTCTTGAATGTTTAGTTAATACATTTGGCTTGAGTGTCTTATTGAGAAATTTGATATTCTCACTGCCATTTTCGATTTATTAAATTGCTCAGTTTCCATGACAAGAACAAACAGCATGATATGATTGAAATTCTGCAGGGCACCACAATCCCAAGAAGTAAATTAATCCAGTGGCAAACCAATCAATTATTGAAGTATGTTATTAATTCAATCAAGATGCAAACACGAGAAATGCTATCATACACCAAGTTATTGAAAATGCTAGAATATAACATAAATACTATTCCAATGAGGATAAGATGTATGTTAGTAAGTAAATGTTGATTCATTGCTATCAATAAATCCATAATTTGCAGCCTGCCTTTCTACAAAGATCTACTATCAATATGCTGATAAGCATGCATAATATGTATATTAGTTGGATGTCAAATTCTTATAGATCTCTCATTCTTTTCAGCCTGGATGATTTGATTGGACTTATAAGGTTACAAATTGGGTGCTCATATACTTACATCGTCAATTGGCTCGCATTTTATTTTGTACATGGCAAAGATGCAAGGTGAGGTTCGGAAATTTAATGACTCTCATCGCTTCAAATTTCATGGAATTGAATCTTGCCTCATTACGATGATCAACCCATTATCAAAAGAATTTCAGGTACATATTGTTAACTTGGTTGTTATATAAATAGCATGGATAAAGTCAAATTTCATATACCTATTATATAATTCTATCTCCTTCAAGAATTTTTAATTATTAGTATATAAATGAACTTGAGTTTTTTTTATTTTATTTTTCCTTTCTTGGGTGTATTTGAAGTTAGTTTTTGGATGATTACAACCACATATTAATGTGCCATAGGATGTTTTGGGTGTCAACACAATATTATATTCAGTAATACAAAATAGACTTGGCAAACCTTGTTCCAAATTCACTTGGTCAGCTATGTATTTAGAAGCAGGAAGAACTATAGGTCAGTACGTCCATAAGAGTTCAATATGATGTTAGGAGTAGCTAAGGAAAAACTGAAAGGACATTTCGTATCATCCTCTTCACATGTCTCTTTGTATATTTTGAAATGAAAGCTTCAACTTTTTATTAGGTGTAAAAGATTATTATTTCCACAACTGGCATTTGAGAGTATCTCTGTTTTTTTTTTTTACATCAATTAATTTTTCAGCTTTCAGTTTCTTTCCATTTCAATAGTAATTAAAAAAGAAACACAATTTTGCTATGAAGGAGAGGGAAGAAGGGAAACGAGTTCATCACCCTTGTGGGAAGAAGGGAAACGAGTTCATCACCCTTGTGGCACCATTTTTATCTTCTGTTCATTTCGCACTCCATTTGAATTCAATTTCAAAATAACTGCGATATTATCTTGCTGAGAGTTTAGGTATTTAAGGGTTGTTGAAAAGACATTAATCAAGTGATATAGAGGTCAGTATGACATTTATGCTAGCCGCGCTTTGATTTCCTTGAAATAAATAGAGAAATTTGATTTTTCGCGTACCTATTATTTTGCCATCAAAGTTTAATTTGCTATATCTTACTTTATTTTACATCTGTTTTGAAGAAAATGAATGCTCAATCTCATCAACTTTTCATGTTTAGGGAAAGGGAGATAGTAGATTTATTGACCCTAACAAAACAACAAAAACTTTAGAATTCGAGGAGACCAGCAGTGGTGGTTTGTTTGTATCTGGAAAGGACAGAGTAATCTTTAAACCTCCTTAGAGGAAATCACTTTTAGGTATGCTTTCATATCACTATGTCTTAATAAACTATAAGTGATATTTATCTCCATGATCTAGAATCATGTAGTAGTATTCTCCATGATAATGCTTAATAGTATAGAGTGCTAGCTTACATTCATCTCATCCAACGCTCAGTTTTGGATTGATCATTGATGGGAACATTGTGTTCATGTATGATTTATTGATGTATTTAATTCGTTTTAATTTTATAATTATTCATGGAGTTTTAAAGCGAATGCTTGCATGGTTAGATAACCCATATTGATTTTTGACAGATTTGTTTTACACAAGATCGAATATTTTTTAGTTAGATTATTAGTAATGTTGATCTGCCTTTTCTTTTTCTTTTTCTAGCTTTAATATAAAAAGATCTAATCTAGCTTTAATCAATGTAAGTCTTAAGATTTTTTGAGATGATTAATACTATTGCTAACCCATTTATAAGGGTATACGAGTGATTGAACAAAATCTTGTAGCTAACGAAATTTCAAAATTCTATCATTTGATAAGGAAGATTTTAGTTTAGCTTCGGTGCCATTTCTAAAGCATTTTCTCATTTCTGTTTTATTGATTTCGTGTATAGAAATCAATTGCATCTCCGGGTCGAGGTATTCTTGCCATTGACGAATCAAATGTAACATGTGGAAAAAGGTTGGCATCCATTGGACTTGACAACACGGAAACAAACAGACAGGCTTATAGACAGCTGCTGCTGACCACTCCCAGCCTTGATGACTATATTTCTGTTGCCATTCTCTTTGAAGAGACACTTTACCAGTCAACTACAGATGGAAAGAAGTTTGTGGACTGTTTGCGGGATGAGAATATTGTGCCGGGTACCAAAGTTGATAAGGTAAACTTGTTATTACTTTAATCTGTAAGAAATGTGCCTTTTTTGTTTTGAAGATCACCAAATTACCTGAACTTTCAGGGTTAGAGCTGCTATTTCATATCTTTGTGTTTTTTTTTTGTTTTTTCTTTTGACAGGGTTTGGTTCTGCTACCGGGATCCAACAATGAATTTTGGTGCCAGGGGCTAGATGGATTGGCTTCTAGATCTGGAATGCAAAATGAGGTACCAACCTGATTGCAGTAAGGTTCAAATTTGATTCACATGGTAATACTAATTTTGGCATTCCAGATTGATGTTTAGTTCTTGATGTAGCATTTTGGGCTTCTGTAATTACTTTCTCAGTGTGTGTGGTTTTGATCTCTGGAAATTCGCGTTGATGTTGGAATTATGTATGGCAATTTTCTATATGCTTCACAAAATTTTCATTTTCTTAATGGCAATTAATTGTTTGAGTCTTCACATGTTCAAAATTGGTTTTAGTGTAGATATTTGCAAAGATCTTTGATGTGATCACTTATCAGAGAGAGTTCACCTTCCAAATTTTCTCAAGGTTACAAGAACACCATTTCATGTGATTTGATATAGCTACTAAAACTACTAACTTCGGTAGAAGAATAACATTGTCCTCATTGCTATTCTTTTTTCCTTAGTGATTTTGCAAGTTTGTATTACATCACAATGGAGTAAAGCTCAGTTAGTTTGTCAAGGTTGACTCTAAAGAATTTAACTTTAAGCGAAATTGTTGTCAATTGTGGATTGTTTTTCAGATGGTTGTCTTCTAATACCATAGTCGTGGTGACAAGAGCAAACAAAGGAATTGGATTTGAGATTGCACGCCGATTTGCATTACATGTGTTCTTCATCAATCGAACTGATTGGGTTTACAAACTTTTGGCGGTATAGATATCAATGTATAGTAATCTCTAACCACTCAGCTTTGCTTTTACAAACAGTCGTTTCGGTTGCTAATCAATCTACCAAATGAAAAAGTGAATTTAAACCTTTGAATTACTTTTGAAAAATGAGATAGAACAAAAAGTTTCCCTTTTGTTTCGTGATGAAATGTCCCATTTTTGTGTTTGTTTTTCGGAAAGTATAGTTTCTGCAATTGGGTATGTTTGATCAACTTTTAGTTCAGATTTGATAGGACTGGAGTCTTTTCTTTTTTTATAGCTTGGAGTGGTAGTGTTTACTTAAACTTTAACTGAATATATATTTTCATATATATATTTCTCTACATCTGCTTGTCTTATCTTTCATGTTTATTTTATACTTATATTGGTGTTCTTTTATGAGTGATATAACAGAGGCTCACATGTTCTGGTGGTACTACAGAAGTCCATTCAGGTCTCAAGATCCAAACAAGCTATGGCCTATCATTCTTTGGCTACAGGGTCGACCTGTAAGACTAATTTGTATAAATTGGACAATTATTGCAACTTTTGTTATAAATTGAGTTTTCTTATTACTCGGTAGATTTGTGAAATGTTTATGTTTGAATATGAATTATAAATTTTGTAATATGAAGGGTGCTTCTGGAGTTGGAATTGGGAATTTTGAAGAGGTTGGGCCTTTAGACACTTTTTTGAAGCCTAGAAATTCCACATGGCTGAGAATAGCTGATATTCTATTTGTGATAAGAATGAAATTCTTTGTATTATCCATAGTTATGATATCTTGGTTTTTTTTAATTGTTTTTCTAATTTTTTTTTAATATTTTGAATAGGATAATCCTGTTGGGACTGGATATAGTTTTGTAGAGCAGGATGATAAAAATCTGCTTGTTCAAACTGATGTTGAGGTTCCAAATGATTTAACTACATTGTTGATAGAAATTTTTAAAAGAAATGAGAGCCTCCAAAACGGTCCTCTTTATGTGGTGGTAGAGTCTTATGGAGGAAAATATGTTGTCACTCTTGGATTATTAGCACTGAATGCAATAGAGGTACGAAAATTAAAGCTCAAGTTAGGAGGTAATCATTATTTTTTTCTCATTTTGGAATCTTAGGTTTATGAGTTCAAGTATAGATGTGAAAAAGGGATCAAATTCGAGTCTTTACTTTGATCACACATTTGGTAGAAGATTGAATATGATCACACGAAGTCATGCCCAATACTAGGTATGGATGTACATTTGGCTTATCATGCAACGGGAACATCCATAGCCAGTTCTTGTTCCTTATTTGAGATTGTGAATATAACTTTGGCATATGGTAAATTAAATTTCCATCCTTGACGCTTTATCAATTTTACAATAAAGAGGAAGACACATCATGAAAGACAATTAGATTGTGAATAAAACATATGGCTTATTTACTTTTCACTTAAAATTGATCATCTAGAGCTAATTATTGTTCCTGATTCGAGAATATGGAACATACTTTTTGTCATAGTG